GCTGACCATGGTGACACCACCACGCACCCCAGGCTGTCTCACTTCTTTTGTTGTCTGTTATTGCAGCAAGCTGAAACAGCTCAGAGAGGCCAGGGCAAGTGAGCCAGCAGGTGGAGGCTGCAAGTTGCTAATTTGACGCACTGGATCTATGAAGCCATGCTTTAAGATGCTTTTATTTTGCATGTAAAGGTGATGCTGTACTTACCTGAGAGCTCCCTGCTGCCTGCCAGGCTGCTCTGCTCCCTGGCTGTGTGCTCCTTCCACCCAGTCCTGGAGCTCACCTGGTGACACAGGAAGCCAAGTCAATAACCACACCAAAAGGGAGGGATGTTCTGCCGAGGCAATGAACGGCGCCAGAGCTGTTTGCACAGCAGGCAGGCGTGTGCCAGCGCTGAGGAGAAGGGGCGGGTGGGGGTAAGCAGCCATGCTGCAGGGCAGGAGGCCCATGACTTCAGCAGAGCACAAAGGCAGCAGAAGAGCGCGTTTCTGCTGAGGCATCCTCACTTCCTCCTGGATCAGAGGGACAAGATTTGCTGGGAGCTCTAAATTAGTTGTCCTACAGAGAGGGAAGAGAAATCCAAGAACTAGTAAAAAATGGTTTAGCAAACTGGTCACTGGGGTTTATGCTTCCCATCTTTGCTGCCTTGCACGTTGCAGACAAAACAAGGACTTAGGCACCAAATAGCCGAGCACTGTTGAGGCCGCACCTTGAGTCGTGTGTTCAGTGTTGGGCCCTCACTACAAGAAAGACATTGGGGTGCTGGAGCGTGTCCAGAGAAGGGCAACGAAGCTGGTGAAGGGTCTACAGCACGAGTCCTGTAAGGAGCAGCTGAGGGAATTGGGGTTGTTTAGCCTGGAGAAAAGGAGGCTGAGGGGAGACCTTGTCACTTTCTTTGAAAGGAGGTTGTAGCCAGGTGGGTGTCAGTCTCTCCTCCCAAGTAAGAGGTGATAAGACAAGAGGAAATGGCCTCAAGTGTTACCAGGGGAGGTTTAGATTGGATATGAGGAAAAATTTATTCACCGAAAGGGTTGTCAAGCATTGGAACAGGCTGCCCAGGGAAGTGGTTGAGTCACCATTCCTGGCAGTATTTAAAAGACGTGTAGATACGGTGCTTAGGGACATGGTTTAGTGGTGGACTTGGCAGTGTTAGGTTAACAGTTGGACTTGGTGATCCATCTTTTCCAACCAAAATGATTCTGTGATTGCATGACTTCAGGGGCCGCTTATCATTTTAGTGGCAGAAGTGGATGGGTCCTGGGATTACTTTAATGGGAATGTAAATAGTTAACTACTGAGTTGGGGGGAAGAGGTTGCCATTATATATACATATAATTAAAACCATTTTTAAGACTGCAGCATCACAAGGCTAACAATTAGTAGTGTCAAAACAAGAAAGGACAACAGGGTCAGTCATTATGATTTGTTCTAACATTGATCTTTATGGTAAACATCTAGAAAAAGGGAGGTGTGGTTTGTCAGCAGAGTTTTGGATAGGTATTTTGTACCTTCTACTAACCACCATTACAAAGACACTTCCCTTGCATCTCATCATCAGGGGAAGCAAAGCTCATGACATTACTTGGCAAACTACAGCTTTTGTTGTTCGGAATTCTATCAGCTTGCACGATAATTTCTTTACCTGAAGCTTTATTGTGCCAGCCATTGCAAAACCAAGCACGCTGGGCCTAGGAAAGCACTGGCCTTTGACAGAATTGCTATGTGAGATCTTAGAAGTAACAGTGCTTTCCAGGATCCAAGATTAGTGCTCATTTCCTTGAGGGAAAGCAAAATCAAGACAAAAAGCATTCCAAATAGTTTAACTTCAGCATTAAGGCCTTAGCAGGGTAAACTTTTTGTATTCGCACCTGTAATCTGGCTTGCCATGGATTTAAGGATTTGGGCAAGTTTTCTTACGCGACCGAACAGGACCGTGTTCCCCACAGTAGTTTGAACAGCGGGTTACACTGTGGCCACGTGTTACTCTGAAGCTATGTTTAAGTCCCATCTAAGATTGCGCTATACTTCAGCCATAATATTTTAATGTTTGAGGAAAATCATTAGTTACAATTTTACCTGCATGGCTGCATTTTTCACTCTTTTTAACATTAGGCAGAGTGGTAGCATGCACTTCAGTGGTACTCAGAGTTCTTAAAATGTGTTCAGTTATTGCTAAATAATTCTGAAGTAGCAAATACAGCCTAGATGCATGAAAAGCTTTACAAGTAAAGAAAGGTTTCCAGACATTTATTTCTGGAACTGTACACCAGGTATTAAAGTACAACAAATACAAAATAATGCTCAAAAAAATCAGTGTTTATGTACAAATATTAAAACCAATGCAACAATAGCGACTTCCTCTTGAACATCTGATACTAAAACATGTTCCGATTGTCACTAGATTTGTTGTTATGCACAGGGTACTTAGTTTGAACTGAGAATAACTGGAATCTCTGTTTTATTAGGAGGACTATAACCATTCCTACTGTATTTTACAATAGAATCTTCCTTCGTCTTACAATGAAAAATAGGAATAAAAAAAATAGTAACCTTGTCATTATTTTATAAATTACTGTATTTAGTTTCCCTGTCTGTAGACAATGTGCTTGTAATGCTGGGCAAATAGTGTCCCTGTTGGTCAGTTTATCCATTAGCTTACATTCAAAGTTGAGATATTCACTAGAGACTTTGGTTAAATTAAGTAGTATCACTATGTTCTACTTGAACTGTAGTTTTCCTATATTTTTTACCCTCAGTTTTAAAAATTAAAAACAGGAAACAATTGCACAATTCATTGACCTAATTGTACACAATTTAGTATTCCTCAAACAGTACTGTACATCCTTCAAGTAAATTCAGCAGTTTGATCATGACAAGAGGAAAACTAAACATTTAAAAACCTACCATGAGAAGATGACGTATGAGTAACCAAAGTAAAAGTATTGCTATAATCACAGCACCAGTTACACTTCTAAATGAATCGGCTATCCTCTTCAAATTCCCTGTACATAAAAAGGATACATTTACCAACACTGCAATTGCCCATCATTGATTTTTTTGGTTTGTTTGTATGAAGAAAAAGTGTGGCAAAGGACAAAGAATTCATCACAGTTTGTTACAAGAATTGTGCTTCACCATCTAAGAACCAAGGCAATGCAATTTCTTCGTATGGTTGCAATTCGGTTATGTTCATGCTGACTTTCAAAACACAATTCTTTTAATAAACAGTAACAAGTTCTCCACTTAAATGCTTAAACTGAGAGAAAAATAAGTAAGTCCAGCTTTTAAAAGAAAAATTCAATAAATAGCTATTTTACATGGATAAAGTCATAGTGGTACAAATTTATGAATGTCACATCAAGCATGCACAAAAATGTTACTATACACAGAAGTAGTCAGAAAATATTGAAATAGATATCTAAAAAGATATGAAGAATTTACATATTTACAAAATCTTGCAAATTATTGCCTCATTTTAACAAGGAATTAAAAGTAAACGATACCAGCTAGCTAGCCAACAGGCTAAATAAGATCAGCATTTAAAAATCTATTAGACTAGCTGGAATTCATTTTTCTCTCATATCATTTTCTGAATTTTGGTCAAAAGTCTTTATTAAATAACTAAAGTGTCCATTCAACTTGCTGACGACCCAAACCTTAGACAAGTCTCTGTCTACATTAAGAGCCCAGCAATGCATAGATAAACTGAATATATTACTGCATCAGCTAATGAGAATGGGCATGTTCATTTAAGTGCAACTGGTATAAGCATTCAGTCATCTTTGTATAATAATTTTTATACAGACCAGCCACTCACTGTAAACCCATAGATAATCTTGAATGTATAACAATGGAAGATCATGGCCAGTATTTTACAAAATTACGTAAAATGTGTTATTCATAAACAAAAGAAAGAAGGTACAAAGTTCAGCACAAAACACAGCAACAAGAAGCTGACAACTTGGCTAAAAATGTCAGAGTACAACACAGGGCCAAGGCTACCCGTTATTTACCGTGTACTTACTAAAATTACGTATTTCAAATGTGTTAGTTGAGAACTGATAACAAAATTATCTCTACTTTTGTCCACTGTGCTAAACTAATTGTTTTTAATATGGTAAGTGTGCTATTGTGTAAACACTTCAAAGCAATCTTCATTACAATGATGTAAAGAAAACTCCCTATGCTGCATCCAAAACCCAGGATGTCAATGCAGTTCACAGTATGCATAATAAATACCCTCTTCCCTTTCAAATATTAAAGTCACTACTTCCTAATTACTCAGCATAACCTTGAAGCAACTATTACAAGTATCAGCAATGCAAACTTAATCTCTTGAATAATGAAAACAAATTAGTGGCAATTAAATTTGCAATACAAACAGTGCAAAGAAAAAGTATGGAGGGAAAGGGCTAATGAACTAAGGTTCAGATTCTCATTAAAAAACCCTGCAAGTTGTATGCTAAAACAACATGTTATAAGCCAATACTATGTTTGGTTTGACTTTCCCACAAGAATTAGTACATTTGCAAGACAAACTTCCCGGATGGCTAAATTGCACTCAGTGTTCAAAATAAAAAAAATTAATACTGAAGTTAAACAGTTGCTTTTATGGGAAACATTTTTACTCATCCTTTCCTATTTGACCAACGTAGTGAAGTGCCATTTTTGAGCCAATGACTTGCCGAAACAAATAAATGCAATCCACACTAAAGAAAAACTGTCCAATACGTACTTCAAGGTTCTACTATTCCTACACAAACTAAATAGTCCCTTAAACCTGTAACACTTTGAACTGCAGTGCTCCAAACAATCTAAGATGTCTTCCAAACATAGACTGTTTAGTGGTAAATCCTAAGCTGTGCAGACTGTAGCTTTATACAACATCAGCTGCCTTAGGAAAGTTACGGTATACCATCACATTACTCTTCAAAGTCATGGACAAAACCCATCCGAATACAATATAGCCTACAACGCACCTGTTTTTAGCCAGTAAGTTTAAAGTACACAGACACCTACGGCAGCATAATTACTTTTGTCTAAGGTAGCCATGGCCTATAATTTTGCAACAGTATCGAAGTGTAGGTCTTCACACTTTACTTATGTTAAGTCCCTTGTGCTAGCTTCCACCAAGATGAACTTGCTGTTTTGTAAACTGAAGTGCTCTAGTTTAGTATCACATGAGAGAAGGTTCCATTTAAAAAACATCCTTGTATGTTTGTGCAGTTTAAATTAAAGAAACCCATCCCTGCCTTTATAAGAAAAAAAAAAAAAAATGCTACATAGAGCAGGGATCAGGATTGGTACCTGTAAACACTGTTATTCCACTGCATCCGTTACAGCAAAAGTAACTTAGACTAAAAAGCCACTCCAATCTGTTCAGAACTTCTGTGCTGGTTTTGAAATGGTGGCCTCCGTCTACAGGCTTTAAAAAAAAAAATAAAATTGAAGCAGAGCTTAAAGCTGCACCACAGAGTTCTCTTAGTCCCAAACTCTGCCAAATATCCTATGACATTTCCACATTTATGGACTGAAAAAAGAAATTACTCTTGATAAATCAAGATATAGTTCTATACATACAAAGACATCACTGATGTCATAAAGTTCAAACTTCCAGTGAAAGACTAAGCAAACCTGATAGCTCCCATCAAGTTTACTACTACTGCATAAAGTACCCACTGTTTGTTTAGTTTTCCACAGTCATTCTGAGTGAAGGGCAGCATGTTGGTGAAGAGTGTGGGTACTGATAAAACCATTTGTCTCATTTGCAGATAGACTGCTGAAGTCAGCCACTGAAACAGCCATTTTGGCACTGGTAATATGGTGCGTGTGGTTCTCGAAGTCCACACCAAGGTTATTTACAGAGACATCATTCATGAAAGATTCTGGGACAGCAATTCCCATTTTCAATCTCTTCGCAGGTCGTTCTGTCTCCTCACTGCACATGTTCATTGGGTTTAGCTCTGAATGATAAAAGCCAGTCTCAAATAAATTAAAACAATCACTTTCACCGTTGCTAGGCAAGTTGAGCAATTCTTCCGTTCCAACAGGCACATGATTAACTGGTGCTCGGGGTAAGCTGTCCATAGGAGGAAAGGCGTCATCCAGGCAGTTCACATCTGAAGTGTGGCAGACTGTAGCTACGCTATTAGTCAATGCTAGAAAAAAGATGAACACAAGTGCAAATGAAATAGTTGTTTGTGTAGTTTGAACAAAAAGATTTTTATCTTTTTCTTGCTTTACCTGTCAACTCATTGGCAGTGATAGAGTTCAGAATGCTTAGCTGTTGATCAGGCATGGTTTCTGTTCGACTGTTAGATGTTAAGGATGAAGAATGCACTGCTCCACCAAGGGCTTCTGCTTCGTCTACCAAACGATCCATGTAGTCCCTAAAGGAGTATTGCATCCATAATGTATTATTTAACCAGAAAACAACGCCTAAAAATGATGATAGATTTAATTTCAGTTGCCATAGGCACGGTGGTATTTATTACACTGCAATGACAGAAGAAAAAACTCGCTATTCTACATTTATGATTTGCAACAGAAAACATATTCAAGAACGTTTTACTTACGTAACTCCTGGATGATGGTTGTATCTCTTCTTTCCAAATCTTGTTTGCTGAGCAAAGTAATCATAGCGTTCTGACTTTTTCCACATGTAATAGAAAGCCACACATTCAGCAACTGTTCTGGTTCTTACCTAAAAGAAAGCAAGAAGAATTGAGAAGATTAATGCAAAGTCTTATGTTTTCTCATTTCCCCAATTCCCATATTCTTGCAATGTTGTTAGTTTTGTTGTTCTAGTATCTGGAACAAACCAATTAAATTAGGACACTTCAAAGAGATCTACAGTTTCAAATCAGTATTACATGTGTTCTATTGTATGCATTATTGGCTTTTTTAAAACTAGATTGAAACTGTATCTATATCTGAAGCATGAAGTTCATCAAGGCCAAGCGCACGGTCCTGCACATGGGTTGGCGCAATCCCAAGCACAACTACAGGCTGGGTGGAGAATGGATTGAGAGCAGCCCTGAGGAGAAGGACTTGGTGTTGGTGGAGGAAAAGCTCAATATGAGCTGGCAATATGTGCTTGCAGCCCAGAAAGCCAATTGTGTCCTGGGCTGCATCAAAAGCAGTGTGACCAGCAGGTCAAGGGAGGTGATCCTGCCCCTCTACTCTGCTCTTGTGAGACCCCACCTGGAGTACTGCGTCCAGCTCTGGGGGCCCCAGTACAAGAAAGACATGGAGCTGTTGGAGCGAGTCCAGAGGAGGGACGTGAAAATAATCAAAGGGCTGGAGCACCTCTCCTACGAACACAGGCTGAGAGTTGTTCAGCCTGGAGAAGAGAAGGCTCCAGGGAGACCTTATAGCAGCCTTCCAGTACCTAAAGGGGCGTACAGGAAAGACGGAGAGGGGCTGTTCATCAGGGAGTGTAGTGAAAGGACAAGGGGTCATGGGTTTAAACTAGAACAGGGTAGATTTAGATTAAATATAAAGAAGAAAATCTTTACTGTGAGGGTGGTGAGGCACTGAACAGGTTGCCCAGAGAAGCTGTGGATGCCCCATCCCTAGAAGTGTCCAAGGCCAGCCTGGACGGGGCTTTGGGCAACCTGGTCTAGTGGAGGGTGTCCCTGCCCATGCAGCGGGGGTTGAAACTAGATGGTTTTTAAGGTCCCTTCCAACCCAAACCATTCTGTGGTTCTATGATCTCAGTTCATAACATATATAACAATTTTTTAAACTGTAAGACAGACTCTTACGATGGAAAAAGCTGAGCAGATCAATGACTTAAGAGAAGTCATTGAAGAAGCAGAAGAGACTTTGGGTACTTATTTCTTTTCGGAAAGGCCAGAACTCTGGAAGCTTCGACAACAGATATTCACAACAGTAAATGCTTAAACAACAAAATAAAACTGTAATCTTGTTGAGAATGTATAAAGGACTCAAAAGATTCATTTTGATCTATGTTGTTTGTGTCTTTCCACAAAATGGAGGTTGCTATGTGAAGTCAGATTCTTGGAGAAAAAGTCATTACTTCTACCTGTGTGCTTATAAACTATACATTTTAAGATGCAGAAATGTTTGACATCAGCAGCAGCTCACAGTTCCAGTTGAAGTTTTACAACTAGAATATACAACTCTATCCAGAAATAGTCTGGCAGTAAACTATACTTGAGCTTAATCAAACTTCTGGAAACATCAGCGGCAAATCCAAAATGCCTTGGGTGTAGTAGTAAACCTTGCAAGTTTAGACATAACAGGTAGGGGAGGAAATGAAAAAATGTCCATATGCACCACCTAGTATACAAAGTCCCTATTAACGTTTTGCGGTACAGTGACAAGGAAACAACTCTTGTAAATTTCTCCACACATGAAATCTTGTCTAACTGATCATTTCCACATACAAGTGACATCAGCTTATTCTGGGTCCCAGAACTCTCCCTGAACTTTCTGGCATTTTACCCACTTGGAAAAAATTCCAGTGGATTTCTTAAGACAAATTCTGGTCCATAGTGACATCAACTTATGTGCTTTGTTGCATGTTGGAAAAAATACTTTTAGATTATTTCTTTGCATCTCTGATGAATTACTGTTTTTTGGTAAGGTCCATTTAAAATCTGAACCACCCAAATATTTACCATAGAACAGGTTAAAGCAGGTATTAAGCAGTACCAGCTGCAGCAATCACAGCCCAATAAAGCTCTCTTGAAATAGAACAAAAACACCAGTCTCCTAAAGAACAAAACCTCAAGGTGGTATCATAACATAAAGGAGATACACAGAAAATTTGGGGACATCCACATTGTCAACTGTACCAAATGACAGGTTTTTTTCATTTTAAAAAAAATTAAAATCCAATCCCTATTCCTCAGGCACAGAGGAGTCAATCAGAAGCCATCCCACATCAAGATTAGAACTCCTTCATTGGTGAGAAACCGGAGTACTCATGGATGACTACACTTTCTGAAAACACAAAGAGCTAAACTGGTTTCTGTAAAATGACACCTTCCTGATGACAAAAATATTTTAAGACAAGATGCATTTTCCCCTCCCACAGCTATGGTATGGAAATACGATACTTCTAGGAGAGGAACACATTTAAATTAAATTATAGTATAAATACATAAATGGAAGTAATGTCAACATAAGTTGGTATCAGAGATAATATAATGACTCATCTTGCAATGCCTAGCTTTTCCAATGACATCTGAGGAACAATTTGCACAAAAATGCCACGCTGGTTTTAATATGTCGGTTCTTACTTCACTCTTCTGCATGGCTTCTGACAAATTTATTGCTTTTACAGATTTTCAGCATCCCATCATCTATCAGTTCTTCCATTTAACTGTAAAATACTAACCTTGTTTTTCTGTATGAGATGAAAGTCTTTTCCATAAATCAGAAGTGCATGTTCAAAGCTTCTGCATTCTTCTTCTGTCCACGCTGTCATCTCTTCTAGACAATGACAAAAGTAGTGTGATAAACTTACTTTCACTCACCAACCTTTTACAGAGAATAAAATATTTATGTTGCTAATACATGAATATCTGAATGCATTCTTAAAAAAACCCCAACAGTTCAGTTATTTAAATCCATGTTCCTTCTTCTATTGTACAGATATCCCACCTTAAATGTAACATTCTTATTAAAAAAAACTCATAAAAGAGTTTTGATTTCTGAAACCTTTTGAGGGCAAAGGACATTCAAAAGATTTATTATTTCTTAGTAAGTTTGTCATCAAAAAAACAAGGTTTGATCACATCACTGAGATATCAGTGAGATAATTTTTTTGAATATTTCTACATACAAAGAACAGTGGTTGTTGGAAAAAGATCGAAGGAACAATCTGTTGTGACGGATGTCCCCACTCTGACTGAGTGAACAGCACTTCAGATCAGGAATCACTGCCGAGAAGGCCTGAGTGAAATTATCCCTGCCATGCAGACTGTGAGAACTGTGGTAGGTCGTGTCTTCTAAGCAACTACGGAGTCTAGGCCATGTCTTATCAGGAGCTAACAGTGCCAACCCACACTGGGACTAGACAAAACTAAAACTGCTACAGCTGCACACCCGTATGTACACCAAAGGAGGGGATGACTATATGTCAGTCACTTCACACTATAAACATTTGTAGCCCCCCTGAGCTCACTGAGCTATCCTGTACAGCAGCAGGCTGCACAGAGACGATCTCCCCTTGAGCAGGGAAGGGACACCACTCAAGGTTACCCCTCAGGGCTGCCTGTAACAAGGTAAGCAACACTTTACATTAAGCCTAAAAGTATACTGTATGCTAATGACACATATGTATCTATCAAGCTATAGCTTAATTATTAGAAGTGTAGTAAGTAGTAGTGTTCTACTAATTATTAATCGTTGTTAAATCATGTTTAAATCATTAAATTATTGCTTAATTACCATTTATCATTCAATCAATTAATTATCATTCGATCATTAATAAAACCTTTTAGTTAACCCCACAACTATGACTTTTCTTAGTAATTCACCTGCGACAAAAATTGGTGTAGTCAGCAGGATGGCAGATTCAATCACTGACTACTTACAGAGGCATGGACTTAACCCTTCACTTAAATTTTCAGATGACTGGGCACACAAAAAGTGGGATAATTGGAGTAAGAAAAAAGAACAGTTGACTCTTGTAAGAGGGAAACTGAAAGATGGTAAAGAGAAGGTAATAATAATGTAAAAGATGCTGAAAAGGTATTTAGCAGCTGCATACCACAGAACCATAGAATAGCCTGGGTTGGAAGGGACCTCAAAGATCATCTAGTTCCAACCCCCCTGCCATGGGCAGGGACACCCACCACTAGACCACGTTGCCCAAAGCCCCATCCAACCTGGCCTTGAACACTTCTAGGGACGGGGCATCCACAGCTTCTCTGGGCAACCTGTTCCAGTGCCTCACCACCATCATTGTGAGGAATTTATTTCTAACATCTAATCTAAATCTACCCTCTTAATTTAAACCCATTACCCCCTGTCCTGTCACTACACTCCCTGATAAACAGTCCCTCACCATTCCTTATACTCTATCACCATAAGGAATGTAAAGAAACAGAAATAAGAACGTTACAAGATGAGGATGAAAAAAGAAAGCAACAAGAAATGCTGTTACCTCTGCGAATAGACCAATTGCTGAAACAACTTTGGGAGGAAAAAGAAAAATGCAGGAAGGTAGAGGATAAACTAGAACTCATGTTTTAAAATTGTACCTCATTGTAAAAAGGGAGGAAATAAGATAAAATATAGAACATAACTCTCAGGAGGGTCAGGATGGCCAACCCCACCTGTGACCCATCCTGACTTGGGCAGACTTGATGTATGGCACTGTAAATCATAGTCAAGAAATGAGGCGGTATGAACCGACACCAGCCAGGCGATCCTGAGCTGACACAGACAGCAGACAGATCCGACAAGTGAGACAGACTCCCCAAAACCCAACACTTTTCCTGATCTCATAAACACCCTCGTGAGGTAGTGGGCCCCCAGAAAAGGCATAATGAACTGTGGAGGAAAGCTTTAGTGCTAGGCATACCTCAGGAAGCCATACAGGGCCAACCGACTGGGACTATACTTAGTCTTATCCAGGGTTTTGAAAAACAAGGGATATCAGGGAATCCAGAACAAACCAAAGAACCATCTGCTCCTAAAGATCCCATGAACAACCATTTCAGACTTCTTAGGGTAGAACTGCAAATCTCCTTTTTTTTTTTTAAAAGATAAAACCTGCAGTTTCTCAAACTGAATTTTAGTTTTACAAACAACAACAAAAAAAATCATTAAAAAAGAGGACGACTCTTGAAACAAAGTAGCTCAAACAATTTGAATAGGTCAGTTTTGTCTCAAGCATTGTTGCTTTCCTATCTGGATTATGGCTTTGGGTCTATATATAATTAAGAAGTGATATTTCAGGCATCTCACATTCCTAATGGTGATCCAGAAAGTTTTGTTCCGTTGACATTTAAAGCCAATGGGGGGAAAAAATCTAATTTCAAAACATTTCTGGAAGCAGACACTGGAACCAAGACCTTTCTGCTCCCAGATGAAGGTGAAAATCATTCCACTGCAAGGCCATTTTCTTTCTTTCTCACCTCATTAATTTTGCACTCCTTACTACAGAGTTCTCCAGCTTCAAACAGAAGAAAAGATCCCGATGTACAGTCTCAATGTTAAGAAATTATCTTGGGATTGGTGGATTTTTAATTCTCATCTTGAGAATGGCAGTGAACCTCAGTGGGTAGTGGGCAGAGTAGATCAGAGCATGACATAACACATATGTTAGAATACTGGACAAAGAACTGTCTTTGCTAAATGATAAACTCTGATTTTCATTTAAGGGAGTAATACAGTTAAGGATAAATAAGATGGAAGCTCGTTTTCCACTGTAAACTCGAGCAAAGCTCTCCATGTTCTACCAAAGACCTACAGAACTATACCTCAGAACTGGTTTAGGGTTGGGATAGCACAACGTTAGCACAGTGAGGAAGAGAGTGGGGCTTATTTATGTAGCCAGCTATGTTCTTCTGATTCTAGTATAAATGTCATCAGATTATAATTGATCATGATCTCAAAAAGATACTGTAATGTGGGTGAGAACTGCCTTATGGGAGCAAAATCACCACTCCTCGCACCTCTCTCCTCAGTCTGTGCCACAACAGCAATGGAGGAAAGAAAGGAAGGTGAAAAGCTGATCCTCCAACCTTTATACAAATTGCAAACTTCTCTAGCAGGAATTTCAACTGGCCAACAGTCGGATTACACCTAATCTGTACCACAGACATCATGGAAATGGATGTGCACCTCAACCTGAATCTCGCTCAAGTTTTTACATCTTTTTTTTTTTTTTTCCTTTTAACCACACATTTCTGAAAAAACAGGTACTCTTACCCTGAGATGCCTTTCCATTTGAGCAGTATCTCTCAATTGCTTCTTTAACATTATGGCTACTTTTAAGAAGTTCATACAGTGCCTATAAAATTGAAAAAGTCTTTAGAAAGAGCGAAAGTTTGCAAACATCCAAACTAGACCTCTAAAACTAGCCTTTCAGTGAGCATATCTAATGTGGAAAAAAAAGGGTTTATCTTTATACATGACAAAAATTTAAAAAAATCCAAACCACAACCAAAAGCAAAACCATCCAAAAGTTGAGGGAAAGTTTAATTAAGAAAATGTAAAACATTATATGCAATTATTAAAAAACCCTGGATTTATCAACAGCATAGCAATCAGAAAATATCACAGATCACAACACCACCAACATTCAAATACTTGGAATTTTAAGCACGTGCTTAAAATTACAAATAACATCCTGACCCCAATAACATCTAATTAAAAAAAAAAAAAGAAATGGAGTACTGCTGCCTTTATAATACAAGGCAGAGAAAAAGAGCACATGTTAATTACAAAGCAATGTGTCACAAATGGAAGAAGACATAAAACATACTTGTTCATTGTCCCGTGTATGTAGTCCTTCAGGAATTCTGCCAATCATTTTTTCATTTCCTGTTCTTAAGGAGGTTTCAAAAAGGTATTCTTTAACTTTACTTTCTGAGATCACATCAGGTTTCCAAAGTAAATGGTCTTCATTTTCGTAGGCTGTTAAAACAGAAATCCATTAACACCAGGTGTAACATTTTTAAGGCTATAACATTAAAAACTATTTCAGAAAGGCAAAGAACAGAAACACAGAAGTAATCAAATCAAGCACTATGATTCTACTTAACTTGCAGCTCGCTTTCTCCCCAAAAGCCTCAGTTAAGAGACAGACTCTGCAATGTGGTGTGGCAAAAAGGTTCAGGTTCCATGAGGATGAGATAAGGGACTCAACTCTTGAGACAGAGTCTTTATAGAGGAGCAGCTTGTTCACAGCTAGATGATTCAAGTCAAATTATGCACATGTATTGATCAACTTCATATGAGCAAACTAGTAAAACCATTCACACTTTTATTCAGCTGCTTTCAAAAAAATAAACCATAGTTTACTGTAAAAGAGTTTAGGATATTACTTCAGCATTTCAAATATCACATGTCAAAAAAAAAAAAAAAACCAATGTGGTGACTAAATGGTCATTTTCAACTAAAATTTGCCAAAAATGACTTAACAGAATGGAAATCTAGGTCTTAACATTTTTCGATTCACTAACAACTGAATGCTGTTAAGAACTTACAGACTGCATACTTTACAAGCAATCAGGATGTATAGTCCTCCTTCAGAGTACACTGAAATTATGTTTGCACCTCTTAAGTAGCTTATTTGAAAGACAACACATTGGAAACACACAAGAGTTGACCTAACCCTTTGTCAGTCTGTGCACATGTTTCAATTCTAGATTAAACTATAAATCCCTTACTCTGATCAATAGACGTAGTTAACATTTTACATAGTGTTTCATGTACTCTCTTGGTGATACAAAATTAGGGAGTTATTCAATTCAAATACAAGCATAATGGCTGTTACAGTAGAAGAGATGAAGATTCTCAAATCTCTCATAAAACTGCAGGAAACAATATTAAGCTAAGGTGAAGAAAAAAAATTACATGTCCTCTGAAAGTTCTGTTACAGCTTAAGAACATGGAAAGCTTTCAGACAGACATGTTGCAAGTGTAAGGTTTACAGAAGAGCAGACCTGCCTTCTAGCATAATTCTGGTAGCTGGAACTACACAGCAGAAATATGAGGCCCTGCTTGCTGTCACAAGCTCTTCAGGGAGTACAGAAGAGGCTTCCACAGAGTCGTCCACCCCTACAGTCAGGTCCAACCTCTCTGAGCACTGCTGACGCTCAGCTTCAACCCTGTTTATCAACCAAGACAGCCCAGCCCTTCTTGCTGGAGTCCATGATTGATAATCTCAAGAGGAGATCCGCTGGCTCTCCCATCTGTTCGCTACCTCTTTCATCTCCGCCTTGCCAGCAAAGACTCTCACTGGTTCTCTCTAGCACCAGCACATTCCAGACAAAGTTGTCAGATTAACCCTTCCTGGTCATCCTCTGGTTATTGGCCCTTCTCTAGTTCTTGGCTGAGGGGAAGTCAAGATGTGTAAATAGTAAAAGGTGAAAGATAAATCCTGTTCTTACTCCTCCATTTCTTAAAACCCATAAGCATAACGCATGAATCTTAGAAAATAAGAGACTTTCCTAGGTCTCTTAAGCAACAGAAGGGATGCTCACTTGCTAATACTTCCAGCTCCACCCATACCGAACATTCTTCTTATTGCAGAGGATCATTCTTCAAAAAAGCAGGCAGTAATGGTGAAAAGACTTTATATACTTCAGTAGAATAACACTCCCATGAAATGTTACAGTTTGAACACAAGTAACTTACTGAATATTGAAAAATTTACAGCAAAAACAAAGAATGCCCTTATTTATTAACATACCCCCAAACTGTTACTTAATTTCACAGCTGTTCCACCCATGAGCAAATTTTTTTCATTATTTGCTTTTTGAATTCCACACCTGTATGTGCTATACTTTTCTCATAGTGAAGGCTTCTAAAGATACCAAGTAAGACTCTATGAAATAACGGGTTTTTTCTACTCTAGCACAATTGCGGTTTTTAACCTAAATTTACACCAGAATAACATCATACTTAAAACATCGTATTTTTTTAAAAGATAGTGTATCAGGACCTACATCTTCTACTCACGCTATGGAAATTTAAAATGGTTTATTGCTTTGTTTTCCATATCCATTCTGTAACCCACACTGGTACGCTTGCCAAAAACAATCAAAGAAAAATACTACTTTGAAGATCTTCAATGTAACTTGACACACAGTTTGTTGCCTCCTAATATTATAGATACATCAGAATGAACACTGTAATCCATCCTCTGATGTTTTCTTGTCCTCTCAAAGTTGCAGAATCCCATTTCTGAGACATAATTATGTGGTTGTATTACTTCAGTTTTCTAGTGCCTTTTTTTTTTTTTTAGGTCTCTGAGACTTTAAGTAAGCCATTGGATTTACCTTACAAATTTAAATAACATTTAAATCTAAGTGCTATGTATATACATAAAATAAAAGTAAAACAGTCAGAAGAACTTACCCTTTTCATCATCACTGTATCTGCCAAGGTAAGATGGAATTTCAGCCTGGTACTGTGAACCAACCATTATTTCCTGAAGATGTAACAAAAATTGAAAGAGAAAGGTATTAACTTAATATGTTGTGTATGGAAGCATTAGAAATTTCATTAATGACATTTGACAGAGAATTCCAGAATTCAGGTACTATTTTAGATATGTACTATAAATCTTAATGCATTTTTCTTAACAGTAAAGTTTTTTTAACTTTTTTTTAAAGATACAATTATTACCTTTCTCAAATCTTCAGATGAATTACCATTGTCTGCCTCTATATCTTCACCATCTGATTCTTTATCTCCATCACACGTAGTGTTCGCTTCAGACACAAAGAAGTTTAGTTTTAACTAGGAAGAATTTTCAGTTCAAACACAGAAGTACAAGATATCCGTTACTTATGAAAGGAGTACCTGTTTTTATTCTGTGAGACACTTATCATGAGTCTGTTGATCTACATTTCTATCAGAAGTCTGTTAATCTACAGTTCTATCAAACTAGCATGAAGTCAGAAGGCACCGGTACTTGTACACTGCAGAACTGAAACATTTATCATCATTGCAACTGAGACATCTACTACATTTCTAACAGTCAAAAGGAAATGAGATATTTTTTCTTAATTAATTTTCTCCAATAAAGGCTTATACCTTACAGAAAAGGTATGAGAAAAACAGAAAACTTCCAGGGCTATGACTTAGCCTCAGGTTAATCACAAAGAAAGTAAAGTTGAAGGCATGTCTTTATTACCTACTAAAACCTTTCATCAGAAGTTTTAATGGGCATTCAAAACATTCCTTTAAACAAGGCTGCCTCAGCATGGAGTGAAGATGCAGGACAGATATATAAAATGGAATCAGTGAAAGACTGAATTTTTTTTTTTTTTTAAACTTAGAAAGAAATACAGCAGAGCACTCCAAACAATTCATATACAGTACTCCATAGAAGAACTCGTGTTTTAGAATCTGGAAGACTGTTCTGAAGTAATTTTACTTTTACAGCTGTATAACACTCAGAAGAATGAAATCTACAGTTCTGATATGATTAAAGCTATTTTGTTTTCTCAAACTTCGGAAACAACATGCTCATAAATAGGGTTGCAATTTTAGCCTCATCACAACTGAACAGAACTGTCAACATCACAGACGATATCCAAGACCGTATGGACTAAGTCTCCTCTTCTGTAATCATTACTCCAATCACCAGTCTATCTCTTTTTGTTGTTAGAAATAGCAAGCAAGAAGCTAACATGAATGCATGAAAAAACAATATGCCTGGATAATCAGAGGCAATTATTTTTTCCAATTAATGGAAATTTAATAAAATAGCCTATAGTATGTATTGGACATGTTTATCGCAAAACTTAATGTTGTCTTAGTATCTGAGAAATGGACAGAGATCAGAGAAAAAAAAAAAAGAAATTGCCAACAGTACAGAGAGCTGACATCTCCCTTCCTGAAATGGTGGATATTCAATTTTAAAATGTCCAACCAAAAGTTCTAATAGAGAAAGTAACATTCTGATAGAAAACCATGATAGCTGAAAACAAAGGTGACTGTTTCTTAATCTTCAGTAGGACGAGGGGCTAAAAATTTTTTTCTATAAAGCTGTCACACTTTCAGTGTCATACTCATTAACAATTCATAAGCAATGATTAAGTGCCAGCAAATTTGGGGTTTGCTTAACTGAAAAAAGGGCATTAAAATTTTTAAGGTTTTTGTGTATCTTTTTCATTACAAATATGTTATTTTTATTATGCAATCAGCAACATGCAAAGGACTACGATTGCTGATGACTGAGGCAGCACATCCCTTTTATTGTCCCCCTTCTCTAGAGGGATGAAATCCCCCAGGAATAGCCTAAAATACTTATCAAATTAAAACTGTGATAAAAACGCTCTACATTGCTCTAATTCTAGTACACCAGTGAACAAATGAGCTGGAACAGGCAATGAGGAATATCTTATCCAGGCTGGATAACTGAACCACTAGTTCTCAGACCTTTTCCATAATAGCTCCATAGATAGTGAAATTTTGGTGCTCATGGGTTTATAGGCCCTATCCCATATAAAACCACTTTGGTTCACCCCATGAACTCTTATGGAAAAGTGTTGAATGTGTGAAGGGAAATAATCACAAAGAAACTGCATCCCAGTTCACATCCACAGGCTGCATGGAGGAGTCACTGGCTTACAAGCAGCAGCAAACATTTCAGTAGAGAAACACTGATTTAAAATAATGGCTTACGTATTCATGTAATTCACTAATGTACTGAAAAATCATGAAGAGTGTTCCTCAATACCACATTAACTATTAATTATGAAAAGTTATCTTATTTGTAGAGAAATTAGTTGCACTTGCACTTTGAGCACAGTATCAAATGTAAGTCTTTTAGGTAATCAGTAATACCAACTGAAGACAACATTCATACACAACATCCTGCAAAGCACTGTTTCTCAATTCCTGGTAAAGTCAGCACTACTCTACAATTTTGGTATTTGAAGCTAGGAAGCTATATATAATGCTAAGACTTTTTGAGTACTATTATAAAATTAGGTTTCCTACATCTTAATGGCCGAGGAAAGAAGTCTGTAGCCTCATGTGAAGTAACCGATGGTGTCAAGTCATCAGCAGAGGACTGTGTTTCTTCATCATCACCCGACAACAGGTCTTTAGCGATTTCCTCCTGTATCATTAAAATAAAAAAATAAAACCTCAGACTATTAAGTATAGACAGATGAGCATTCAGATTCAGCAAACTGTAAGTCTCATTAATTAAAATTAATTATTTTGCCTTAAGTAAATTTAGCAGACCATACACCCTTAATTAAAGAGCTAGTTAACTCCTCCTAAATCTAAGAACAAATATAACCATTAATTTCAGAGTTGAACACAGGGGTTCATTTCCCCTCTGTCTTCTATTAAAATAAAAACACAAGAAGTAACTTCTGCAAGGATTAATTTTAGATGTTTCTCCAACTGCTTCCAATGAAAAATGCCAGTGGAAACTGCCTCAAATCTTTAGAATTCTGTCATTCTTTGCATCACAGATATACCGAAGCTTTAAAAGGTTGCTACCCCTTAAACTCTGTGGAAAAAAAGATAAAACAGCCAGGCACATTTGTAGACTTTTGCTGAGAGGACAGTTACAGATAATAGACCATCTGCTATCTTCCCAAAACAAAAAAAATGACATTTCTGTAGGTTAAAAAAAGAAAAAATATAGCAAAAAAGAAAACGCACATGTTCTCCACTAGCAGATATGTTTGAACCCCTCTGTATAGAGGTTAGGAAGGGAAAGAACTGTATTGGACAACAAGCCGACTACATTTTTGTAGTCTCAACACAATCGTGAATCATAATGAGAATCAGATGTGCAGAGCCATCATTATACCCTACTTTCTGTGGAGTTTACCATTACATCATACTTACAGAAAGTTTTTTAAAAAAAACCCAGACATATACTTACTACCTATATACTTTGTAATCTGAACTAGTAGCTGCATATGCTTTATAGCCAAAAATCAGTTTAAAATCTCAGAATTCAAAGTTCACTTGCAAATCACAAAACCTGAAGTTTTAGGTTTTTACATCAGCAATGCAACACTTAGAGTGACTGAACATAAAACAATCTCTCTCTCACTCCCCAAAATTGAGACCTTTCCAAATTATATGCATTTGAAAGCAACATTCCAAAGCATTGAGGAGTTCAAGTTATCCACAAAACTTTTGATACTTGACATGTGTGCCGGAAGACAGAATTATTTTTTCTGGACTTTGCATACATTATAAAAAAAAAAATCCCACTTCTATTAAAAAACCCTCCACCTATTTAAAGTTCTTTGGATGTGTTTTAGAAGAACTGTTAACTTATTCATTTCTCATTTGTAGTAATATAGTACCACTAAAGTTGCTACACATTTATAAATGTGATAATTATAACTAGAATCGGATCCTCAATACCCTTGAAAAAGAATGAATTCAGAATAATATAGTATATCGAATTAACAAAGATACATATTTTGTAACATCAAGAGACAGTGAAATGTAATTTCAGGTCACCTGAATTTCTGTTTTTTAGCCATAATACAAGGGGGAAATGGTTCTGACTTACTTTATCTAGAGTCATATCTGGAAGTTCATCTGCAAGTTCACTTGGAGAGCTATCTGCACTGGAACCTGCCATAACTGGAATCGTGGGTTCATAGCCATAGAATGCCAGTAAATCTTCCAACGGCATGTTTCCCTCCTAATACAAGAGGATTTACAAACATTTCAACACACTGACAAATACTTGTAAACAGTTCAGGCCTAAAAGGATAAGACATATTTTGAAAAACAAAAGTAAAAAAACAAACAAAGGAAAACTGAATTGAAAGCAGGAATCCTGATTAAAGATTTAAAATGTTTTCAGGCACAGGACTGAAATAATTCATAACCATGTTATCTGGGCATATAGTGAAATCCCATCAAGCTACTGAAGAAAATTGTTTACTGGATGAAACCAGAGAGTGATTATTAAAAATGTCCTCATCTGACTCATACTGTAGAGCATGATTTGCCTCTATTTTTCAAGACACAAGATATCCTAAAAACACTATACAACCCCTCTACAAGACAGAAACACAGAAAAACGTGAAGACTTTAGTCCTACACACTTACAGCTGCGAGTGTGAAAACCCCACAAAAGTAAACCAATATAGCAACATTTAAGCCCTCCTTTCCATCTCCTGCACGATGTATTTTATAATGACTGTTGAGAAGGTAATAGGAGAAAGACAGCTAATGATACAGAAGGCAAAAATGAGGAGAAAGGTTTGATTTATAACTTGTTTTTTCCAACAGCTTTCAATCAAGTGATTTTAGTAAATATCATATTTACATCTCAATACAATTAATAAAATAATAAACAGTGATTTTTTTTTAGTTACCTGATTCAAGCTATCAAAACATTAAAAATATTTTCCAATATTTATACCTTGAAAAGTTATATTACCTTTAAAAATTTCTTGTTGAACTCAAACACAGATTAAATTACTTGTTTTCTTTAGTCAGCTAAGGTCTTAGTCCTGCAAAGACTTTTCACAATGGGTAAACGTAAACTCATGTCCAAGTCTTTCCAGGATCGGGACCTAAAGTAATAAAGTGTTTAAGATGAGTGGCTCTCAGTTCTTCTTCCTTCTATTACAGAAGCAACAAGATCATTTTGTGGAGTAACAACTCCATTTTAACCACCAGACTTGGCAAGCTGCTTCACTACTATAATTGCAAGTTCATAATCAGTAAAAATGTAACTATAAAGGTCGCAGGACAAAAAAAAAATAAAAACCATGAGTATAAACACTGCCAACTCCACATTTAAAAAATTTGGTTTTACATGGACTACAAAAACACAGTCTCATATATGATGCTAAAAATTACACCTCCCTGGAACTCTCTTGACCAAAATCTGCAGTTATGCTGCGTGGTGTAAGTGGGTCACTGAACAGTAATGCAAGCAGCATGAATTTGTGGGTGTTCAGCACTCAGCAGGCATTTAAAATGGGTGATGCACTGCCACAGATGAACAGCAGGTGTAAATAGGAAAAATATTTAATTAAAGAGTGTAAAATGGAATAGGAAAAGCCAAGGAGCACGCTGGTCATTTTGCACACCCACCAAATGCCAAATTGATGAAACTAAGACATAAAACTAACACTTACGTAGAAAATGAACATGGTCCATCATGCCTTAAACAGGGCTGTTAGTTCAAACATTGGGAAAGCAAAATCTGACCAACAGAATGAAATACAGCTAGCTGTCACTTAATACTATGCAAAATGTAGTTTCAACTTATATCCAACTTGTAAAACTCAGAAGTGATAAGTGCTATTAGATGATAGGACTTTAAAACCTGCTTCAGTGATTTCTCTACCACAGAGACTACTAAATGAAAAAGAATGTGAACTTAACACTAATATCTTTGAGAAGCTAAGTTCAGCCCTTCTGTGAGGATGCACTGCTATATCCTAACCAAACCTGATTTTCTTTTCTTTTTTTAAACAAGTTGCAAAGGCATATTGCAGGAAACTGCATTATACAATACAAACTGAAAAACAAGTTGAGTGCTTTTTTCACTAGAAAAGTTACATGTATGGACATTTGCAAGAGAGAAAGCCACTCTTACCTTTTCTAAATCTTCAATTTCAGAGTTGAAATTTTTGCTTTCTTCCATCATTTCTTCTTCTTCAAGAGTTCGCTCATCATCATAATCATGTACCAGCATTTCAGCAGATGGGTCAAAGTCATGATCCTCAGACGATAAAGAGCCAACTATCAAAAAACCTAATTTGAGTCACTTTTTTTTCTATACCAACATATGAAATTACATCACAGAAATGTGGTTCCATGAACGCTCTTACACACAGGGTCAGAACTCTCAATGGAATAAGTGGAACAAACTCCTTAACTACTTGACAAATTCAGCTGTTTTGGCTGGCCTTCCCTTTTCATATTTGTAAGTAATAGGGACATGTTTCTCTCTTGCAGTATAAAGTACATGAGAGAAGCACCTAAGCTACTGATACAAAGTTCAGAAAGTACAATCCCAAATTAGTATTTTACTGAATAAAAGATTTTTCACAACATACGGTACAAAGCGTACATCATAAGATTTCAGATGCTGCAAGACTGTGATTTATAGACTCTATTTATGTTATTTATATGGTAACTAGCACAGTTTTTCACTGGTAAACAGCTAACTTAGGTTATAAATCAGCTTCCTACTAACACCAAATAATGCTTCAGATTAGTTTAGCCTCATAGATACATCTTTTATTAAAACTAATTTAATTCTTAGCACTTGATCTAGATAGGAAAAATAAATAGCAGAGTTTCAAGAAGTATTGATTAAAATATATCAAAAATAACAAAATGTTTCTAATGGATCACATTAATTAACAAGTTCTTGTGATAGCTCTGTGGTCCAATAGACACTTTTTCATTACTCAAGAGGACAGTCGTAAGTCATCAAAAAAGTGCATTTTGTCAACAGTGCGAAAGTTTATCATTACATTAAACAAATTTTAAAGATGCAAATATTCTGCACCAAAAAGACAGTGTTCTACAATGAAAGTCACTGAACTACAGGGTTGTTTTGTTCTTTAATGTTCACTTTCTTATGGCTTTCAGGATGGAGAAAAACACATTAGGGTATTTCTCTTCTGGTTTCCCCTTCTAGTTCTTACACACTAACACTCTGTCGCAAAATCCTTGGCTTACAAGCAGTAAAGAAAAGGTTCATTACAAATTATTTCCATGTAAGAACTTCTTTAGAAGTTTTGAAGGAAATAGCTACAAATTTTCAATCCTCTTCAAAAACATAAAGCAGTATCCCTCTCTGCACTGCTTCCAGCCTTGAAAGAGACAGCTGCACACACTAACACTTCCGAGTCTTAAAGCATCTAATTAATTTTTCAGCAATTATGCTAAGTGTTCATTCCTTATACGCAGGTAATTACAACTTTATCTGTTTAGCTCACTTAAGACAATACTATGAAAGTTCATGTATCATACTGTAGTGAAACATTCATGCCAAAAATGCTTTTTATTCACATAGATGGTCTCACAGAACTTTCACTATAGCTGGTAACACTATTCCAATTACAATAATGACATTATGTGTTGAGTTTTCCTCCTGTTTGCCATCATATTCTGATCTAGTTTTAAAGAAGTGTCAACTGCCTTAATCTATTCATACATATGTGCTTGCGATTATTGTGCCTAATTGATGTTCTAACTCATTTTATGTTTGAGTAACTCAAGTGGAAGTTCTGTTCCACTCACAGACTTTTCATAGAAAAGTCCCACTTCTTCAGTAGCTCTGCATGCTCAGTATCCCATTTAAAATATTTAAAATCATATTAAAAAATGCAAGCCTAATAAATTTCAGAAGAGTAGTTCAAAAGGATGACAGCCACTGCAGAAAGCAGTTACACAGAAGCAAATACATTCCCCAAATACTTCTTCTTCGAGAGTAGCCCTGCTGATGTTAACTATGCTTGCTTGTGTAAAGTATTCCAAAGAACCTCAATAGCAGTTAAAGCCTTAAAAATTACTTATCATTATGATTTTAAACATTTTCGGTTATTACCAAGAAGTCAAAAATTATAGTTACCAGCAACAAGAGAAGCAGTCTCTCTCCAGGCTACATGGCTTTACTGAGATGCTGACTTAAAAGTGCTACAAAACTTTGTTTTCATTTTGGGTTCCAAGCAGCCAATTACTAACTGCAACCGGAGTTAAGGAAAGGACTCCACAGTGCACATCTCCTTCTCTTAAAAATCTGGCAGGCGGTTAATTGCGTGCACATGAAGCGTTAGGAAAGCTACGAGGGAATAAATTTGGGAAGGAGCAGGAAGGAGAAAGCGGCGTGAGGGCAGCAGGCCGGGTGCTGGAGCAGGAGGTGGGCGAGGACGAACCTGGGCTCGAACTCCCAAAGGAAGCCTGCGGGGAGAAGAGAGACCGAGGTGAGAGCCGGCTTCCTGCGGCCCGGGAGCGGGCTGAGGGCTTCACTTCATGCTTCCC